TCCAAAACTAATACCACTCAACCTTATTATTATGTTGAAACCTAATACACGGGCAGGGTTTAGTAATTATAATCCTTTCAAGATCATTCGTAGAATGTCATTACTTTGATGCGCCATGACATACCTACCGAATATAATCGACAAAACAGTAATATTTGTCAATCACCTTGACATGCCAAGCATAGTGATCGAATATAATTATCAGCACAATTGCTATTATAAATGAGTCTAACACTTTGATGATACTACAATTTATTAGTAACGATATACTAAATTATACTACAACCATAGCGACATGTTTTCCCATTTTTGTCTCAATTAAGAACCTTATTTATATTGTATAAGGAATCAATAATATAATTCTATGTGGAACGACTTTACACTATAGTATCTTCAATTTCAATAACGAGACAACTTGCTAATAAGAAAGTAACAGTAACATTGAGCTGAAAGAAACATAGTAAATGGATCCATAATTTTCATTGAAATCTAAGAATAGCTATATTTGCAGCATAGTTTTTCTACAGTGATTATCACCTCCACACACTCATATATACAACAGATATGATGGTGACGGCAGAGGAGCCTAGCCTAGGGTTTTGGAGGACACATGTCTCTTTCCTAATGGCTGAGGTTACTAGATTGTCTTCTAGCTAAACCGATTTTTTCTTCTTTTGTATTTCCATGCATGATGTCCTTTTCCACGTCAGATATTATGTGGCTTGACTGAGGAGTGGTTCCAATAGCCCCCTTCAATTCTATGCATGCTCTTGAAGTGATCTTCAGCTTGTTTCTTAGCCATGCAAAGAATTGTCCAGTTAAAGCTTTTGTGAATATGTCAGCAATCTGCTCGGCTGAAGGAAGATGTTGAACAGTGATTACTTTGTCTTCAACTGAGAAATGACAGGAGATGGACCCCACAAATCAGAGTGGACAAGATCAAAAGGTTTACAACCCTTAAATCAGAATCATGAAATGGAAGTTTATGAAACTTAGACTGCATGCACACATCACATAAAGAGTTAATTTTACTGCCATGAAAATGAACATTGCAGCTATTTAAAGCTGTCTTAATAACATCATAAGAAGCATGACCAAAACGTTGGTGCCAAATATCCAAAGAAACAACATTGTTTGATTTATTTAAACTAGAAGCTGTCTGAAAACATGATGGTGGAACAAAGGACAAATGACAGGAGGGAGTTTGGTGAGTGTTAACAAGCTTGAAGCAATAAGTGTGCCTTGGAGTAGGAGGGCACCGGTCTTGAGATCCTTCACAAAACATAAAGTGGGGTGAAACTCAAAAAAGACTGAATTGTCTTTGGCAAATTGTGAAACACTAAGGAGGTTCTTAGTGATTTGAGGGACATGCATGAGATGATTAAGAAAAAATATGTTAGAATTAGCTGATGAAGGGCATTTTACCACAGAATTACCAAGGTGAGCTATACTCATACCTGAACCATTTGCTGTTTGAACTCTCTCACTGCCTTGATAATCAGTAGCCACATTCAAATTCTGAAAATCATTGGTGAGGTGATGTGTTGCTCCAGAATCAGGAAACCAATATAATCTTGAGAAGTCTCACTGGCTTGAGAACCAAAACTAGCTACATGAGCTGAGGGATCAGTCACAGCACTTGAAGATGCATTAGAAGAAGAGTGATTTGTATCTCTGGAAATGAAGTTTGGATAAAACCTAAAATAGCACTCTTTTGCTGTGTGATTATTATAATTGCAGATTTGGCATCTCGGTCTGTTTTGATTTGAGTAAGATCTTCCACCTCTACCTCTAAATGGCCCTGCTCTCCCTGGACTTCTGCCTCTAAAATTGTTGAATGACCTTCCTCTATTTCCATTAAAACCTCTTCCTCTAGATTGAGTATGAGTGGCTAGGTTTGCTGCAAGATATGAACCTTCTGTATCAGCAACTTTCTCAAAGCTTTCCAGCCTGCTTTCAAAACTGAGTAAGATGGAGTATGCCTCCATCATATAACATCTTTCTGTTCTTGAGGTTAAGTTCACTACCACTGGATTATATTCTTGTCCAAGACCTGAGAGTAGGTGTAGAACTTGATCATTTTCTTCAATCTTTTGCCCAGCAGCAGCCAACATATCACAAATTCCTTTGACTTTGTTGAAATACTCCCTTACTTTTAGATTTCCCTTTCTTAGGGTTTGAAGCTCGAGCTTGAGCTGCATCTGCTTTGCTAAGCTGTGGCTGGAAAAACTTTTGTTGAGACAGTCCCAGATCTCCTTAGCTGTGTTTAGACCCACTGTAGTGACTAAGATGGATTCTGAGAGAGAGGAAAGGAGCCATGAAGCTATGAGCTGGTCTTGCTTAACCCAGGTCAAGTAAGATCTGTTGACTGTGAGCTCATTGGTGTCTGGATCTCAGGCTAGCTTGTCAGGAGGTGGTGTTTCTCCATTCAAATATCCAAACAAATCATAGCCTCTGATGGTGGTCAGGATTTGTTGCTGCCATATTAAGAAATTTCCTTCATTAAGCTTGGTTGTAATGAGCTGGTTCTGTAGCTGTATGACATGTTCACATGCTGGAGCAGGTAGAGCCATGTGAACGTATTAAATGCGAGCCAAACTAGGGGTAATCAGAGCCTACTCTCTGATACCATAATAAGAAAGTAACAGTAACATTGAGCTGAAAGAAACATAGTAAATGGAATTCATTGAAATCTAAGAATAGCTATATTTGCAGCATAGTTTTTCTACAGTGATTATCACCTCCACACACTCATATATACAACAGACATGATGGTGACGGCTGAGGAGCCTAGCCTAGGGTTTTGGAGGACACATGTCTCTTTCCTAATGGCTGAGGTTACTAGATTGTCTTCTAGCTAAACCGATTTTGTCTTCTTTTGTATTTCCATGCATGATGTCCTTTTCCACGTCAGATATTATGTGGCTTGACTGAGGAGTGGTTCCAATACTTGCAAAATTGTACATAAAAACAAATGTAAATATATTGATTAAATATGGTTTTTTATTCAAATTGAAAATAAGTTCAGACAAAGAAATACTCAGAGTATACAAACCATCAGATACTGACATTAATAACACGCATCATGTGTAATATAAAAAAAGTGATACGGGATTTCGGAAATAGTGATTGGTTTTAATTTTATATGAATTGTTTCCTTAAAGGAATTAGATGATTGTTTGTATTTCAAATTGTGTATGATGTTATTTTTAATATTATATAGTGTTATTAAATAAATGAAAAAATATAACTAACCATACAAATATAGATAAATAGAAATAATGATTTCCGTTGTTCATATTATAAAGATGTAAGATGTTACCATTTAAATCACATTATATATATAGTTTTAATAAGAAATACAAATTTTATACTTTTCTTCTGAATTATCACACTGTTTGAATTACAGAATCACTTTTTTTTTTTAAATATTTTCAAGAAACTTTCTAATGTTTAACAAAAGTTGGGTTACCTTAAATAATTTTAATAATACTCTTATTTGGTCAATTGGTATGTACAGTGGGGATATAGACGGAAATGTACCAGTCACTTCAACACTGCTATCAATCAACCAAATGAACGTTTCGGTTAGCTCGCAATGGCGCCCTTGGTACCATTCTGGAGAGGTAATAAGCTTTTATATTTTTACCCTACCATTAAATATTAATAAAATGTATAAAAATTTAAAAGTTATTTTTAACATTTAATAAATTAAATGGTTCCGTTTTCAAATCACCGGTACGCCTGTAAAATTTAGTTGGTAAAATTGGTGGTTAAGTTATTTATACTAAGTATTAGTTGGAATGAAAATTACATAGTTAAATATATTTCTTACATTATATCAACAAACTAAATATTATTTATATGGATTTGAATAAAAAATAATTACGATTTTGATTAATTTTCTTCTCGAAATTATGAGACTAGATATCATTTATATGGGTTTGAATAAGAAGTATCACAAAAAAGTATCACGATTAATTTTTATATAAAGAGTTGTTCATTTATTTGCTATTGTAATAATGATGGGGGCAATGAAGTCTTTTATTTTTTTTATGTGGACCGCTAAGTCAAAATGTTGCAAAAAGCAACATTTTTCATTTTGGCGGATTGAGCAAATAACGCTGGTTACAACAGCTCATTACCAAACGGTGGTTTTAGCTGATTGTGTATGGTCAAACAACTAAATAACTCAAAAAGTTGTTTTAAAGTGAAAACGCTAATAAACAAACACAACCCTAGCCTTTTCTTTGCGAACAATTTTTCTCTTATATCCAATTTTTATTATGAAGAACCAATAGTGCTTTCAGGTTAACACTAATTAAAATCAACACACACACACACACACACACCAATATACAAACGGGAATATATGTAAAAATATCAATATATATTTTGGTGACATCTGATTAAATAAAAATAAAAAAAAAAATGGCTACAATAAGACGACTTAATAGATCCACAGCTTGAAGAGTCATAAATTTTGAAGAAACTATAAATAAAAAGCAATAAAAATGTCAGCGATGAATGTATATCATATGTATTTAACGTACTACCAATGCGTCGCTTATACATATTCACCATGTTTTATTATGCTTGCATTAATTCATCTCTTTTTTTTTTTTTTTTTTTTTACTATTCTACATCAGGTTGCTGGGTACACTACATCTTACAAATATGTCTCAAAGGCTCATGAAGCTAGAGGAGCTAAAAATACTTCATGTTATGAAAAGGAATTAAAATTTTATACAGTTAGAGGATCCGGTCATCAAGTTCCAAGTTATCAACCTGATAGAGCGCTCGCCCTCATTCAGAATTTCCTTACTGGAAAATAACTTCCAAGCTGTATTCGCTAACGTCAACAAGGTTTTATTATAGTATGTTGTATGACAAGTTTATCCTCATATCCCTAAATGAAGTTGTTTTATGTTGGAAAATACAAATGAGCCCCAAATCTAATAAAGTTGTTTTATGTTGGACAATACAAATGAGCCCCAAATTTTTACCATCTTTGATGATGCATCAAATTAAGCTTTAATTATTTGACTGAGTTTATGGAACAAGATTTTCTGCTCCACATTCATGTTCTATTTCTTGTTTTATTCCATTAGATAAATCACATATGTAAATAATAATGTCGTAAATAATAATTTCGTATTTTTGTAAAGGTTATCTTTTATTGTATGGTAGCACTTTACACTATAATTTTCTCATAGTAGACCCTTCACCGTATCACTTCTTAGAATTTTTTTTATCACTTTAGATTACTCAATGGTTATGTTTAGAATGATTATGTAACACTTAATAATATAATGATACATATCCAAAAACTTTATTATATAACAAATAGAGCAATAACAAGAAAAATAAATAAAAATTAACCAATAAAATATACATACATGTAGTTCAAAATAAAGTGAAAGTAATGAAATACTAACATTCCAAAAATGCTGCAAAAAATGAGGCTAACTAGCCCGAGTATAGTGTTATCCATATGCCGACATTAAAAGTCCCTAATGCAACAAAGACAATAACTAGAATCATTAACAAAAGATATAGAAATATCTCAACAAAATCCTTAGCAAAGTAACATTCAATCTCTATCTTCTTCTTCTTCATCTTCTTTCTCAATGATGTTGTCATTTCCATGAAAGGTTTCATCATCATTTGCTCCATCATCATTCAAGCAACCATCCTAAAATCTATGAAGTCCATCTACATAAGTCAACATAATAGCAATAGGACCACTCAAAAGCATACAAAAATGACAAAAATTGTTTTATGAACTAATAGACATCCACGATAACAGTAAGTAAAAATTTACTTTGAATTTTTCCTTTGACAAATCAAATAAAAAAAAGAAAATGAATAAGCTAAATAAACTTAGCAATTTCAGTAGTCTTGCCCTTGTCGCGATTCACGAGGAAATCAGTAAAGTTCGAGTGGACGGACCGTTGTGAGCTGAGTTTCCAGGAGCTCAAGGAGAGACTGACGACAGCGCCTGTACTAACTATACCGGACTCACGCAAGGCTTCGTTATTTACAGTGATGCGTCAAAACAGGGACTTGGATGCGTACTGGTGAGCAGAGTTGTGGCATATTCTTCACGTCAGCTGAAGCTACACGAGCTGAACTACCTAACTCACGACTTAGAGTTGGCAGCCTTGGTTCACGCCTTCAAGATCTAGAGACACTATCTGTACGGTGGTCGGTGCAAGATCTACACCGATCATATGAGTTTACTATATATCTTAATCCAGAAGGAGCTCAACATACGTCAGAGACGATGGTTGGAGCTGGTGAATGATTACGACTGCAATATCCAGTACCATCCGAGAAAGGCGAACATTGTAGTTGACGCCCTCAGCCAAAATAGAAAGGGCGAGCAGACCTGCATGATCACTGGTAACACAAAACTCCTTGACCGGCTGGAACTTGAGTAATCGCCTTCCTTCTCGCCGGTTGAACGTCGTGCACCTACAAAGAACTCTCACACCGGAGGGGTTTTCCGGTGAAGAGCCTCCAAAGCTTAAGTCAGCGTGTATTCAATCAATTCTCAAGAGTAATAGAATGATCGTGTTGAAGAAGAAAGGCTCAACCCCTTTATATAGAGGTGAGATACCTGACCTAGGGCTGCCCGGATTTGATGAGCTGTCTGCCCTAACTGCCCGTCCGTACACACCAAATGTGTGTGTCAGAGGTAGCCGTCGCCACTATCACCTGCACCAATCCCTTTTGGACGCGTGTCCTCCTGCACATGGGATATGCTGTCAGAGGTGGTTATCGCTATCCACCACTGCTTTCTCGACACGTGTCCCTCTGCACATGGGGTAAATATTCTCCTGGGATTCTTTCAGAGGCTTCCCTCACGCGCCTATGGCTAGGTCGAACAGCGTGGCGTTAAGTTTCCGAAGTAATCGACCTGTTGAGGTCGATTAGGTCGCTCGATCGCTTATCTGGTCGAAGGATAGCTTGGTCGACAGCCTTGCTTGGTCGACTGGTTGACTGCTCAATTTCCTTGGCTTACCCATAGTACGACCTCCTCAACCGGTCCACAGGCCGGTTCGGCCTTGTGGGTATGATATCCTATATCATCTAGTCCCCCCCACTCTGGTCGAATCTGAATGATTCGATCTAAGAGTGAATTAGCATTTATCGTCCTTCTGAATGGTTCGTCGTTAGATATCGACTGGCTGGTAAACTTCCCGCTCACTCTTTTGAATAATTCCCCATTAATCTCTAGCAATAAAGTCCTCCGCTTTAAGTCCTTTCTGTCGCATCCGTTTTCTGCCACGCGTCACGACTGTCAGATGTGTCAGGCGTTTTAATTATTGCGCCTCCTCGCCTATCGCGTCCGTTTTGAGCTCCGTGCCAATTAATACTCCCCATCGTTGGATTTACCTTTTAATCTGACGGCTCTTATTTTTCCACCCTTCAATCCTCATAGTATAAATTCCATACTTAGCGTATTTTTTAGCTTTTTCCACCTTCTCACTTTTCGAATTGCCTTGTGCCCAGAATTTTCCTCTGCAGAAACTCTTATTTTCTCGACGATTTCTCCTGCGCCCCTTCAATCCTTCCTCAATTATCCATCCACGGTTATGAGTAAGTCTCTTTGCACTTGAATTTATATTCTTTGTAGTTCCATTCTGTGTATTTTGAATTTTCAATGTTGGGTGTTTTCGATCTGCCTGTTGAATCGCCCTAAATTGGCTTGTTGTGTGTTGAATTTGCGCTTGGGATACTCTTGCTTGTGTATTGAATGTTGGGGATTTTGTCTTTCCTTTGAAAATTTTTGAAATTTTCGTCCCTTTACTTTCTTAATTTTTCTCCTGATTTTTGGGTCGCTCTCCCGTAAGAACCCTAATCTTCTTCTCCCCTCT